TTCTCAGGCTGTAGTGATGCTAGCATTTGGGTGGAGACATAGCTAACAGAGCTGAGATCTATTCCCTTCTGTTAAGGAAATACTCACCCTGAGCATGATGTGAATTTCTGGTAATGAAAAGCTCTCTGTTACCTAGTTACCGGACAGATGATTCTAGGTTTGGGAAGTTACTCTAAGGAAGTCTGATATACCCAAGCATAGAACTGCCTGCTTTTAATATTAGTAAGTGGGGGGAGCAGTCCTTAATTGCTGATTTCATATAAAATATCAGGTTGGAAGTACAGCATTTCTGATGCTGTACACACATGCTCTGTTTGGCTATTTTTCGTCTTTGAACACTGTAATAACTCCTACTGACATTCCATCTGTCCAAGATCTTCTGTATAGAAATATCTCCTCTCTCTCATGTTTGCATAGCCTAAAATGGAATCATGTCAGAGAGCAGTTGGATACCTTTGCTGCTATTGCAAGTGCTTCAAAAGGGGGAAGAATTGGAATTGAGGAGTTTGCGGAGTACTTGAAGCTGCCTATTTCAGATGTCCTCAAAGAACTGTTTCTACTCTTTGACAGGGTGAGTAGTTGGTTAACTGACTGGAAATCTTGTTGACAGTGTTTTGTTAAGAATCACATCCCAAAAGGATATTTAATTCATTCTGTCCAGCTTAGTAAATGCTTATTGGTTAGCAACTGCTGTAGGCAAGATAGGTGACTTTCACGGTTTCCTTCTTAAGTTTCGATGGAAGAACGTTGCTCAGTTTGTAGCTTGTGAGATGACAGCCATCTTTTGGAACAAGCTGCTGCACCGCCATCAGATTATAATCTTCATGCTGGTAATGGCTGAACATTTCCTTCTGCCTACCCCAGATTTTAAGCTTATGTACACTCTGACAGCTTAATTAACTGATGTAGTTTAAAGTAGATAATTTAAGGCAGACTGAAGCTGACTAGAGTGCACGTTCCTGCTGTGTTTGTGAAGGGTGCTATTAGACACTATAAGGACTCCTCTTGCCAGCCTCCAGCCAGAAAGGAGGCTGTCTGATCATGTAGGCTTTCCTCCATAGTCAGTAGTGATGCCTCCCATTTTCTGCTTCTCTTTGAAGATGAGAAAAATTGCTCTGTGGATGTGCCCCTCTGACTATACCACAAGTGTCAGTGGCTAGAGCATAGCATAGAATCGTCTCACTTCCAGGCATCCCGTACGTGCTACAGTGGAAGCAGCATGTTGTACTGCAGGTCCTTACGAACTGGAGTTTGTTTCTTATGTTAGGAGCCCTCTCAACTCAGCATCACTCTTCCTGATCAAGTTAGTTTTTCAATACACGTTAGTTTTTCAATACACCTGTCCTTGGGAGGTCATTGCACTGTATATGCTGATTAAAACTGTTTCAGGATTTTTCCAGATAAAAAGCTCTAAAATAGAGAAGAGCCAAATGTATTTCCTTAATTGCTGAATGCACTGAAGCTCTAGCAGAGCTAGGTACTCATCCTTTCTTCATTCTTGCCTCCACACCTTGGACCACTGCCTTCTCTGATCATGTAGTCGGAGTCCTGAAGCACAATATGTACAACAGAAATAAGGTGTGGCAACCAAAATAATTAAGGGCAATCAAGACTCCTTTTACTTCCCCTATCTGGCACAACAGCGTCAGTGACTAGAATTGGCAGTGTAATGCTCAATTCACTAAAAAGTTGAAGGCATAAAAGATTGCAAGAACGGACAAGACTAGTAAGCTTTCGCTGCATTCATCTTTACGGAGATTAGCTTAACTGGGAAACCGTCACACTAATGTGGCAGGGCTCTTTTCAAATTGTTTCAATTATGAGAACAGCTATTCTGAGACTTCTGCTCTGTGGCTTTCAGCATCATTGTTATTCTGTCTTCTAAAAAAATTTCTCAAATCACATAAAGCTAACTATGCAGAGAAGAGAAATAGAGGTGTATTTACAATTGACAGAAACCACTGAGATCAGAGATAACTCTGGCAGCTGCAGACAAGCACAGACATGGTGAAGTCTAAGCATGCAGATGAGCTGTGTTTTGCCCACGCCCAGCTCAGAGACAATACGGCTCTGGAGAGTTACAGAGGCACTGGGTCTCTGAGTAACTCCCTTCACAAAACCTTTGCGATGTTCCTCGCTAAAGCTTTGCTGAGTGGAGGAGGTAGTAGTGATCGTGGAGGGAGCCTTGCACGTGGCCTTGGAGGTCTCCTAACAGGAGGTAAACATGGAATGAATCTTGGAGGACTTGTTGGAGGTCTTGTCAATTTTATAAGTGAAGCAGCAGCTCAGTATAATCCAGAGCCACCTCCACCTCCTCACAACCATTTTGCGAATGTGGAAGCTTATGAGAGTGAGGAGATCAGACAGTTTCGTCGCCTTTTTGCCCAGCTGGCTGGAGATGACATGGAAGTGTGTGCCACAGAGCTAAGGGACATCCTGAACAAAGTGGTTTCCAGACATCAAGACTTGAAGACAGATGGCTTCAGCTTAGACACGTGCCGTAGCATGGTAGCTGTCATGGACAGTGATACAAATGGCAAACTGGGCTTTGAAGAGTTTAAGTACCTGTGGAACAACATCAAGAAATGGCAATGTGTATACAAGCAGTATGATACTGATCAGTCAGGTGCTGTTGGGAGAGCTCAGCTGCTGGATGCCTTGAAGGCTGCAGGGTTCCACCTGAACGAACAACTCTGCCAGGTAATTGTGCGCAGGTATGCCAACGAGGATGGTGGCATGGATTTCAACAACTTCATTAGCTGCTTGGTACGACTGGACAGCATGTTCCGGGCCTTCAAGTCCCTGGACCGAGATGGAGCTGGACAGATCAGAATGACCATTGAAGACTGGCTGCAGCTGACCATGTATTCGTGAAGGCACAGCAGAGAATAAGCAGCTTCGTCTGGAAGATATACATGGAAGACCTACAATCCCGTGCTATAGAACTGTAGCCTTTGCCTTGTTCTAAGGCAGATGCAGCTGGTCGTCGATAGCTCAGCTTAAAGTGTTGCGATTCCTCTTATGCATGCATTAGTCTGCTTTTCTGAAGGGTTTGTGTAAGTTGTCAGTTGCACAGCTGCGTAAGTCTCTCTCCAAAAACTATCTCTAGACTCTGAAGTGAGGGAATATGTTGAAGGATCAAAGCATAGTTATTTCTCTACATGAAGCGGCTTGTATACGAGTGTAAATATTATATGAAAAGGTCCTAAGTTTGGTGTTGCTTTGTGATGTTACTGTTCCGATTTGTCAGCATTCACTAAGCTGGAATAAAGCTCTGCTTGCCTGAAGGCGATCACTAGTAAAGAGACTTGTGAAGTTATTTCTAACAAGGGGAAAAACACGGGAGTTGCATAACTATAGTGATCAATGAATTTCCATAATCGTCTTTAATTTCCTTCCTACTTCTGCTTTTTCATGCTTGCTGCTGAAACAAAACGTGAGTGGTATTTGTCAGTTCTGCCTGCTGGCCAGGGCAAAATTGAAGACTTCCATAAGGCTACTTTTACAACCTTTTTCTCCTTCCTAAAACTCTATTAACTAGCCTTTTCTCTCTTTCCTTCAAGCCTTATTATAGTTATAATGAAAACAACTTAAAATATGACATTTATATTTAGAGTAGCTTGCTGTAATAATGCAGTTGCGTAGCAGCCAGCCAGCCAAAATCAGCCTCTGGCTATGTGAGTTAAATTTTATCAGGGTGCGGCATCCAACTCAAGCTAGTTATGCAGTTCCATCTAAGATGTAAATTTATGAGTAAAAGGAGTAACATGAACTATCAAAGGTACGTTTCTTTGAATTAAGGATTATGTAGTTGATGAAAACAGCTCTTGCACTGCAATGTAACAAGGCAGATTTCTCAGCAGGGCTCTGCTGCTTTAAAAGCAAATTGTCTAGGGTGTGTGCTAGCTGATGGGAGTTGTGCAGCCTGTGCGCTACCCGCAGTCTCCAGACGTGAGAGTCCATATGCCCCTGCCCCTCCCCAGGGAGACGTCAGTCACTAATTGAGAAATACCACACAATACCCACAGGGCATCTGAATACTAACGGGGCACTGTGGTTGGGTTTGTTTCCAAATTTCCATAGCTTTGATTTCTAAAACTTGCAGTTACACTTGGCAAATAATATTTTCCAAACTGATGAAATCTCCTCCCTGGTATACTTGCAGAAGCCTTTTACTTGTAACTTAGGAAAAAGTAACTTACAACTTTTGCCAAGACTTTTTTCCGCCAGCACTTTGTTTTATACCAAACTGGGTGACAGAAACAGTAAAAATATTCATATACTGGCTTAAATTGTGATGAAAGAGGTCAAGTCCCTCCTAATGGCATTCACCTCCCTCCCAATTATTCAATGGAAAAGCACAAAGTTATCCACAGTGGCATTTGGGCTCTGAGTGAAGGAAAATGGAGCACGAGGGAAGGTGGGATACCCCTAGGTGAGCACCACCCTATCAGGTTGGTTTCAGAATTTCCCCTTCTGACTAGTTAGGACTTAGTTAGTTGCATGTAGCAACAGGTGTTGGAAATTTTGGAGTCAGAGCAACAGCCTCTTAGATGATGAGCCTAGATACAAACATGAGGGTGCATTTGCAGTTCCTCCCCAAATGGTCCAGTTGTAGCTTCTCTGTGGTAGCCCTGTAAGCAACTCTGGGTTTACTTAGCTAATCAGAACAGTAATTACTAGCGTGTGTGTGCACACCGCGCACACACACACACACTTGACTTTTCCTGTTGCCTTACATAGTGAGAAAAAAGTTTTGGGGCAGTAGTACTTTAAACTTTATTGACTGCATCTGTCTTGCAGAGAGCTTTGTGAACTGCATAAAGCTAACTGATTATCTAGCCCTGATCTCCTTGTGCAACTTTAAATGGAGACAGTTCATGAAAGTGCCAACTTTCTTTTTCCCCATAAGATTTACTGTATTATATAAAAAAAAACAACAACAAAACCCTAGTTACCATAGCACGCTATAGTGAAAATAGTAGCAGAAAACTAGTTACCTTAAAGAAAACAAGAGCTGTTGAGGTTACGCTATGCTTTGGTTATTTTGTGTAACATAAATACAAATATATAAATATTGATGTTCTACTTTGCTATTTAGAGAACTGGAGCTCAGCTCACATGTAGCTTCCTTAAAATTTTCTTGGGTGCACAGGCTGCAAACACAGCTAGATATGCATAGAAAGACTGTTGCAAGTGCTTGTTTGCAGTGGTGCTACACCAGCACTGAAGGCTTTTCTGCATTTTCAGTTTAACTCCCATCTCTCTTTCCAGGCAACAACCCTATCATTTCTCCGTAACCAAAATGCCAGCGCATTTGGAAGTTAGCCAGCATCCCAGGGCTTAGCAGAGCTAGTCACAACATGATCTTGCAAGTGCAGTAAGTTTACTTCCTACTCAGATGGCTGGAGTTCTGTGTATCAGACTGCACTCAGTTTTGATTACTGGGTTTTAGCACTTTAATGAAAGTAATATGTCCCTTCTTAGCTCTTGTAATTTTTCCACGTGCAGCCAAAGCTGTGTTAACTGATTTCAGAAGCTGTTTTTTAATGAGACTATTTTATTTTATTTTGCTGCGATTATCTTTAAAAATAAATTTTAAAAATTATTCTAATGGCATCAGAATAATCCTTTGCTAAGAATACAGTCTATAAAACTGCCCCAAAATAATATTGCATGGAACTTTGAACAATTAATATCTACACTCTTGCTTCAGTTGTTTTAAGAGTTTAGGTTTATAATGATACATTTCAAAGCTAGATCTATTATTGTTATGAGAACTATGATGTAGCCAAAATACTAAGTCAAACTCTGCAGCACAAAAGCACAGAATTGTAAATAAAACCAAATTTATGAGAGAACATTGTCCTTTCCTAATGACTAAAAACTGTCAAAAGTTATATCCCTTAGACACACTTGAAAGTAACTTAAAGACTATGCATATTTTTGCTAAAAAGCTTTCTTAAAATTCACAGGCCTTAAAAGTACAAGACATTCAAAAGTTGCACGTCTTCAAAAAAGATTTGTCAGACCATCAATATAAAGAAAATAACAGTTATCTGGGCAAAACAGACAGAATTGGTTTTGATGTATCTTAACAATTTTAAATCCTGTCAAATATATACCTTGATAAAGAAAAGTTAGTACTGAATCCATTATTACACGTATTTTGTTAATTAAAGACTGTCTTAAGACCTAAATTCAGTACCAGAAATCCCTATTTTCTAGAACCCAAGATTTTAAAAGTGCTCTAGAGAGCAGCCTTAGCATTTCTTCACTGGCAAGTTCCATATTCCACTACTCAGCAGCAGAAAGCCAAGAACGGAAAGGTTAAGGCTGGTATGCTCAAGCGGGCATTAGAAGTTGGTAGCAGAGCCAGAAATAGAATTTAGATCTGGCTGTTCACTACAGATTTACCCAGGAGACCACACCTCTTTTGCTTGGCTGAAAACGTTTTGTGCTGTTCTCAGACTTAGTGAGTCCAGTTTTTAAAAAATCTTTTTCGTCTTGAAATGTACAACACATTATCCACAAAGGAACTTCACTTTACACTTTGGTTTGCTTTTAAAATGTTTTTGATAAATGCCCTTATTGTGAATGTTCCAAACTATGAGCTACTAGTCATCTCAGCTATGCTTTCATTAACTGCTCTGTGTCCCTTCACCTAACGCTTATATATGGCTTCTTCCCCCGACTGGATGTTTCCCAAAACCCTCAAGAAACTTTCAGTGTGGTCACAGGAACACTACTGACTTCAGCATACATTTCAATGGGCATCTGCGATTTTCCCTGTCTGCAAATATAATGCAGTTTACATAGAATTAATCACGAATCCCATCAAAGCAAGCTTCACATGTTTTGTTGATGTAGCCTTGTAGTTAACTCATTGAAATGTTTGTTCAGATCAAAACCGCAATTATCAGAGAGGCTGTTACAATGAATTCAGTGCATTTCTGGCTTGAAAGGTAGGACAGTGTATTTGCTTCAAAACAACACACAGGGCAATGCCTTTGCTTCAAAAAACGGCTAGAGATAGACCACGCAGGTTTACTGCATCAGCAGGCAGTACTTTCACTGGCATGTATTTTACTGCTGAAGGTTCTTAGGAAGAATTAACTCCAGGCAAGAGGCTCACTGTTGGCTTGTTTATTCTAGGATGTTGCATCCGTCTCTGAACTTCAGCTAAAGTGCCAGTGCTCCATGAACTGTTACCTTTTCCTTGAACACATGCATTCCAGTTCTTGCTAGAGGCTTCTCAGAGGTCATACACTAAAGAAAAACTTATCAGTTGTTTTAAATCTTTTTTGTTCGGGTGTTTATAAGATAGAAATTGATACCAAATTTGTAGCTATTGAAAATACATATATTGCTACTTCAGCCCTAGTATTGCATATATTTAGCGAGCTGTTAGTATTTTTTCCAGGAAGAACAAATACCTCTAGCATTGTGAACTGTCCTAGTGCATGTTGTATAGTTGATTTATACAACAGCTTTTAAAGTGATTTGCTGTATTAACTGTAACTACTGCCATACGTATTTTGGTTACAGAATGGAGATGGCACCATTGACTTCAGAGAGTATGTCATTGGTTTGTCTATTCTTTGTAACCCAGCCAACACAGAAGACACTATTCGGATGGCATTTAAGGTAAGTTCAATTTAGTGTAAATCTACAAACCTGACAAATCAAGACTGACTGTAAATCTGTTAGCTTTCAAATCATAAGTTTATAGTTTCAATCTGTTATGCAAATGTGAATAATACTCTTAAACCAATTGACATTTAGACTGTGAAGGGGAAGGGGAGAATTGCAGGCATCAGCTTCATAGAAAAAGGTTTCAAAAGCCATGTGAAGGCATTAATGAATATGTAACTTGGCAGGCTAACTCCAAAAATGATTCAGCAGCACTTGCAGTTTTTTCACCTGAGGTTTTTTCTGCTGTGATTCTTCAATGTCACAAGTAGACAATAGATGGAGCAATATCCTCTTGTGGGTCCAGCACTCAGTAGAGTCACTGTTGTTGACAGGAGAGAAAAAAAAAAAATCAAGACGGGCTATTCAGGACTGGCACATCCAAAACTGGGGTGCATCTAAGCTCATCTGTTGGCTTGTACTATGGTGTCCTGATAGTACAAGCAGTTAAGGAGCAGTAGCTCCTTTCAGATCTCAGGTACAAGCAGGCAGTATGTGACCGGGGATGCGCAGGCTGTGAATCCATGAGTAGAAAAATGCTCAAGTGACTTTTTTTTTTTAGTAGATCTTCGACACAGAGTCAGTTATTTTGTCCACTAATCTGTTCCATATTGAACGGTATATTGAGATATGGATCATGTTCATCTTAAACTGGATACTTTTTAGTACTGATGCATTCTCGGGAAGTACCAGACTTTTCATGGCAATCCATTATATCCACTGGCTGCTTTACGGATAAGCACTACAGCTGTTCGAAGTGATTTGTGCTATTTCAGTGATGTTTTATACCTACAGATTCCTATGAAGAAGCAAGCCTAGCAGCTCTTGTTGCTGTTTCATTGTTTTCTAGACTATACTCTTCAGTCTCTTAACAGTTGCACTGCTTATAAAATTAGTAATTTGTTTTAATTCCCAGTTTTAGCAGGAAATGACTGGTTCAGCTGGTAAAAGCCTGTTTCAGTCTGAAATGGAACTATGGGTTTTCTTTTGCTGCTTGCTTTCACTGCCACTAAATGTGCTTTCCTTTGCAATGGGAAAGTTTACCTGTAGCAAGTACTGAAGAATTACAGCCATCCATCCCTTGTATTTCTCCAGGGGTTGATTCATAGCAGATGCTTACTGTCACTGTGCTGGGAAGGATGGGATGGTCAGTGTACATCGCTTGCCTGCATTCCGGTCACCAAAATTCCCTGTTAATCACAGTAATTCCTTAGGGGATGACAGATCACATATTCTAAAATTTTGGTATTTTATGTCAGAGCATAAACTATGGCAAGTTTAATGTGATAGCAGACGTGCCACAACTTAATGAAAGTGAAGACTGAAACATTAAGATGTTCCAGTATAGAGTGGCTGAATCCAGGAGACCCTTAGCATAGCTTATGGTGACAGTAACATAAACCTTTGTTTATGTTGTATCAGTTTTGTATGAGCTTTATTACTGAACTAATGCTGTGAGGTTTGTTTGTTGTTGCAGGTTTGCTACGTACTTTTCCTATTAGAGAATATTCCAATCCCAACTAGAGCATGTACATTACTTTGCTAAGTGTCTGCTTAGTCTTATTCCAGAAAAAATACATAAAATCTTCTGCAAGAGAAAGGAGGTGAGATGCACCCAGTCTCTTCAAATCCCAGGCATTGTTTGCAGATCACCTTCTGAATATTAGAAACCTAATATGGGTGGCTGATGTGCACAGAAGGTTCGTAGGCAAACTGATGCTAAAGTATTTCTGCACGTAATATCTTTTCCAGCTCTTTGACATGGATGAGGATGGCACTATAACAGAAGATGAGTTTGCCTGTATCATTCAGTCAGCTCTGGGGGTGCCTGAGCTTGACGTTTCTGTGCTCTTTAAAGAAATAGATACAGATGAAACCGGGAAGCTGTCCTATGGTAAGTTACGTCCTTTTGTAACGAAGAGCACTCTGACAGTCATATTGACAGTGAGCGTTTCCTACCCTTTTTTCCCCTGAAATTATCTCCTACCCTGTTTCTGGGGAAAACTGCTGAAGCACAGACCTACATACTTTGTGTGATTTGCCTGACGTGCTTCAGAGGAAAGCAACTGGTGATCAGCTTCAGTAAAAGGAGCAGGCACTGAAATTTTCCTTGATTCTATTGCTGCACTATAATATCTGTATTTTTTATATTTTTCAGATGAGTTCAAGGACTTTGCATTCAAGCATCCAGAATATGCCAAGTTGTTTACTACATACCTAGAGCTACAGAGATACCAGTCAGATATGTTGGAGGAGGAGAACATTGAGTCACCTGAATTCAAACACAGCCCAGTTAGAAAGAGTACAATCCCAGTCTCAGAAACAACACCAATTGCAAGACATAAAGTCTGTCCTGAAGGCAATGAAGAGGATAACTCAAGTACCTCTGACAAAAAGGATGACTGAGACGAGTCAGAGAATTCAGCTCTTGGATTCTCCAGGATTTTTTTCCCTAGCTATTCATAAGTACAATTGATATAAAACAGAGATGGAAGTTACAATTAAAAAAAAAGTTTCTTTTATTACTTTCATATTAGGAGGAGTTATTCCTGTTAGAGTGTAAGGGCAAAAGCACTGTAACTATTCTGTCCTTGATGTCAGTATCACAATACTGGGAATGTTGTCCACTGTCTTCCAAGACCATGCTTCCACAAAAGTAACAGATAGGCTACGAGGACTAACAGGCTCCAGCACTGCAGTGACCTCTCAGAGAGGAGACTGAGGAGTACACTTGGGTAAAAACAAGTGGAATTTTTGGTGCTGCTCAATTCCTCTACATCCCCAACATGTCTTAAGGGGAAAAAAAATGATGCCAGAGTGTTTTAATTTGCAATATCCCTTAGCCTTTCTCAAGTTTCTGAGAGACACAGTGAGTTACAAGAAGCTGAGAGTTGAAGCTGCTTTCTTTTAGCTGTCCTTAGGTTTCCCTCAAGTACTTGTGATCCATAAAGCCTAAGCTTCTGAACAAGACAAGCTGATTCACTGATGTTAACAGGAACAGCTTTAGGCTTAAAGGCGAGTTAAAGATGGCTGTACTTCTAACAACAAAAAACTAATTAGAATTCCAAGATAGCAGCACACAGTCTACACAAAAATGCAGACAGTAAGACCCAAGAATTAATGAACTATTTCAAAATAAATAGAATGTTGTTTATAGTAACAACTGTTTAGGATCACATTAGGAGGAATATTTCAAACTTCAGCATATTTTTATTCTAGTAATTATAAACAGAGGAATGTGACTTTGCTCTGCAAAACTTTAAAGGCAAATATGCTGTCAAGCTATAGTTCTAGTAGTTAGTATCTACTCTAAAGTTGTCTCCTAGAAACCATGTTTGCATTACTGTGCCATTACTCAATATATTCTTAGGGTTTGATTCAAAACCAAGTTCTTTCTAGTCAATGATCTGAGTATGTTTTGCCTCAGTCTTGTCTAGTGCACTGGAAATTAGGCCTTTGCCTTTATCCGTCCTTCATCTGAACGCACTTTATACAGTATTTAAAATATATAGGTATTTACACAAGTAACTTCTAAATACAAACTTGGAGGTGGTGGAATGGCAGGATATTTTCAGATTAAAACTGAAATAACCAATTTTCAGCAGGTTTTGTATGTGAAACGGTAACCTTTGCCTCTAAGTTATTGCTTGCGTTGTCTGGCTGCAAAGTCATTGCCATGTTCAGTCTTTCTGTGTTTATAATTGTGCCTATCCTGATGTTTCACATGCTTAAAATAAATCTATATTTTTAGAAGACTTTACTTGAACAGCTAAGTCTTTTCAGTACAGTGGGAAGGGTACTGTCTGCCTTCAGGGGCTGGGAGGATTTCCAGGAAATCATCCTTATGTTGTCTTACCTTGATAAACACAATGCAAGCTGAAGTTGGCATTTTTAGTTCTGAGTGTGTTGGCACTTTGCTTTACGGCAACGATAGAAAAGTAGGACAGGACTGATGCTCTCCCAAAGAGTTACTTCTGCTGACTGTCTCAGCAAGAGGGGATATGGTACAAAGAAGATTTGCAGGTACATGGAGATACCACTGTTTTCCGATGGAAGAAAAAGCATAGCCATTTACAGGTAAAATGAGCAACCTCCACCATAGCTGAGAAGTAACAATCATGGTTTTGTGTAATACAAACATTAGGAGAGGATTTTCTTTCACTGTTGAGAAGGAGAAGCAGGAGTTACCCTAACCTGGCTGTACAGTTAGCTGGAATGCATGTTAATTCCTTCACAAGCATGCTTTTGCCGAGCATGTTAACCGAAGTCCTCAGCTTTCCAACGAGCAGTAACCTTTTCAAAGATGACTTCTATTCTAACCAGTAAGAAAAAGATGGGTGGGCAAAGATGACAAAGGCAACCGCCTTCAGGTCTTGGCATGCTAAGGGTGCCTTACACGCTCCTGTTGAACGCAGCCACATTCAACAAATGGAGCACTATGCTGTCTAATAGCGTAGCATATTTAGGACTAGTGATTTTATAAAAACCTGCAAATCACACTAGCACTTTACAATTAAAGCTAAAAATACTGCGTATATAAATCTACATATCCCAATAGTTTAGGGAGGAAAGGCCTCAAATGGGTTTGGTATGTAGCAGTGATTCAACTATGCTCTGAAAAGAAATCAGCTAAACGTTAGAGATACTAACTCAATATACACACATCTGCTTGATGTGTGGGAAGGGAATACATTCATTTCTAGGCATCATTGTGCCTCAGGGAGCTTTTAAAAGGACCAAACTAAAAGCACTCTGCAATAAACGGGCATTACATTAAGTGGCAGAGCGAAACAGAAGGAGAAGATTAAAAATACTAAACAGAACACGGTTGTCAGTCAGTCATTGAGGGATGACACCTTTCTGCCCGAGACTTCTGAGGTGCAAATTCTTAAGTCTATGGGGTGTTTAAAGACCATTTCGAGTCCTGCACAATAGAGCTAGAAAGGTATATTGGGTCCCACATCACCACAGGAAACATAATTTATTTAATCAGTACTTATCTGTCGTGCTGTAACATGGATTTGATGATAAATCCTTCACAGATACCAAAATAAGACACTAAAGTATATAGAAACTCCAGCAATCTTAACCGAACAAGGGTGAGAATCTGATGAGAACAAGTCTATCACAAGAGGCAGGCACAACTATTTCTCAAGAACAGAGGCCCATGGGCTGCTGTTTTTCATGTTTTCTGATAACTATGTACATAAAGTACATACAATCACTATGAATAAATCTCACTTTCATTTTTTAAAAGCTAGGCTCCTGTTTGTGAACACATGAAAGGCAATGGTGGGTCACCTAGGGAAGTGGACCTTTCTAGTTCACCCTGGAACAAGTAAGATATTCATAAATGTAAATCCTGATCAATTTGTTTAAGGAAGGTGAATAAGTCAGGTCTCCACTGGCCAAACCAGAGGCTTATTTCTGAGGGCAAGAGCTTCTGATCCAAGAAAATTTAAATGATGTTTGTACTTGCTTTGCTGCATCAGTGGCACTGCCTAAATGCAGAAATGGAGACAGCACACCCAGGTTTCATGCCAGATAATACTGATATAAGATCTGGTCCTAAACTGCCAAAATCCCATAGTTCCTGGCTGGTTGCTGTCCATCAGCAGAACTATGAGGAGCAGTAACACTTCCAGAAAGCATCTGAAAATGGATCTCCTGTTTTCACAGTTCATAGCTGTGCAGCATCGGTCACAGGTACCAAGCCAGGCAGTGGCTGCTGCTTCTGAGCTTTTGTACTTATCAACATCAGAACAAGTTAGGTACCAAATTGTCTTCCCACAATGTTCCTGTGGGTGTTACCTCCTCTTCCTCATCAGCTAGCTCCATAAGTTGTGGGGAAAAAAAAAGTTCAGTGATTCCCAGATGGTTTGCAAGGGAAATTTTGCAAGACAGCTGTGTGCTGCATGCTGTACCTGTTCAACCCCTCAAGAACCCAGGACTAAGAGCCCTGGGAGTTCAAAGAAGGATCGTGTTGTGTGACAGGTCTAATGACCATTCATAGGACTGCTGTACAGGGTAAGGGCCAATTGGCCAGATGTCACCTGCCTAGCAACTCCCATCTAAAACAAAGTGTTCCCTGGGAAACATTTTTTGAGATCTTTTTTTCTATGGTGGTCAGCGCACCAAGGCCCTATTCCTGGGTAATTCCTCAGGCACTATGCCAGAGCAAATAACTACACCATTGTGCCTGAGCAGGCTTCTGGTGGTGTCTGCATCAGTGCCAAGGGCTACTCAGAATGCATGGATGTGGAAAATCAGGGCCTGAAGCTTAGAAACTAAATGTAAAAAATGTCACTACATACAAACACATCTGCACTCCTCTGCGGAGAGTCTGCCTGTCAACCGTTTGACCACAGCCTTCACCAAGCAAAGCAGCCTGAGATTTCATGCTGAGAATTACATAGCTCTCCCTTTGGAATGCCACAGTAAAAAATTTAACACCAATTTTTAAGAAAGGTTTGGAAGGTTCGTAGTTACACTGCGTATGATTTGCGAGGAAGGCTGGACTCTGTGTGGATTGGCCTTTGGCTTACATTTTTCCCAGTGGTTTTGCATGCCTTGGAACAGCCTACCTTTCCTCTCTACTTTTTGCCTCCATGTTTCTGCCCAAAACGCAGCCACTACCACCAAAATCTGTATTCCATAATGATTAAAGAAACTGTGAGATTACAGCATAAAAATTATTGAATTGGGTGGGATTCAGGGGCTACTCATGGAGCATTCAGGTAAGTACTTTTACTGGCGTGCAGTAAGAGCAAACTTGCCAAAGGTTGCAAGGGATTTTAATGACATTTAATTAATTAATTTTAAATCTTTGCTCAATGAAATAACATTTATTAGACTGACTAGCAGTAGGGAGACTTTTGTCAGCAGTGCTTAAGTTGGCAGACTCTCTGTTACTATACATAGCCAGAGAGGCAGAAAGTAAACATCTTATAGGATTAGCAGCTATGTTCATAGCTGAGATGAAATTTGGACATTTCATTAGTATAAGATTGATTCTGACATTTCGTAAAGCCAAAATGCAAACAAAAAAATGTGTCTGATATAAATACAGTATGCAGCACTTACTCAGATAAAGTTCAAGCAGCACAGCAGGTTTAGTGCCATGACAAAGGAAATACAGAAGGGTCATTTAAGGACCCAACTTCTGCTAAGCACTTAAGTGTATGCTTAATCCTGTGGGCACCAATCAGATACTTTGTACTTATTAAGTAATAATACTATTAATTAAAAAACAAGAAACACTTCCATGGCTAGTTATTGTCAATGATGGTAAGAATTACACTACCCTCACTGAGGAAAACAATATGTGAACCGATTAAATTTTATGAAAGTTTTCATTTATTGTGTCATCCTCTTGGTTTAAGATATTCTGTAACAACCACGGCTTG